GGGTAAAAGATGTATCAGTATTGAATCTATTGATACCATATATAAGAAATCGATGGTTTCAGGCTACCTTCAAATGAATATTCAACGAAGTGTCATTTTTTTGCTGATAATCTGCATAGCCAAGTCCTGCAGTCGTAACTTCCATTGAATAGGAAGCTGATATACAAAAAATAAGTCAGAAGAATCAGTTTAACAAGGTTCATTTGGTAATTTACTTTGTTCCCTTAAATTTCACTTACTTTAAGTAAAAAGAGTCACAAGACTGGGTGTACTTTAATTAGGAGTGACATAAGCACTGCCTCATGATGATTCAAGTGCGCTTGATCTTTGAGAATGTTCCTATTTCAGAGAAGTAGGTACTTTGAGTTCCACTTCCCAGTTGATTTGCATGAGCCTGTGGATTTGTAAGTTCAATTCCCTGAAATACAGAACAGAACCGACTCATTACTGGCAAAAAAAATTACATGATAGCAGAAAAAAAGACCAATTTAATCAACAGCATCTGTTTCAGTAGTTCATGAAGTAATACTACTATGAGAGAGAATTTAGCAGGTAAACAGACAAGGAAAACAATTATAATATCATTTAACAAAGGCAATGATGCATCTTTCATAACCACATCAATACTTCGTAAACCTTAAAGATCATATTTACCCTTTTACATCACAAATGATAATGACTTCACTCATAATTTACAGAAAAAAGAAACAAAAGCATAATCAGTAGTTCTCTCAAGAAAAATCCCCTACTATTGGATCAACCAAAGAGCTGCCTAAGTTCAAGAATATTCTCTTATGTGCTCAGTCATGGTCAATATGTCTTTCCAGATACAATATGTCAATTCAACATCACCCTCATCTCTAAGGCTCCGTTTGGTTTGTGGGATGGGGATGAGAAGGGAATATTCCGAAAATATTCCCTTTTCTCTCATTTGTTTTGAGGGAAACAGAGGGATGGGAAGAGAAAAGTGTGGGATTTCAGATCCCAAAATCATGGATTTGAGGTCGCACCAAAACCGTGGGACCCCGGTGGAAAATTTTGGAAAAACACTGTTACAACTGGAAGAAGTCAAAGAACCACCGTCTTCCTCTTCTTTCTCACCTTCTTCCCGTCTTCACCAGATCTGCAGCGAACCAGGGCGAACCAGGCAGCGGTGACACGCAGGCAAAGCAAACCAGGCAGCGAACCAGAGTAGTGGAGACGAAAAACGAAGAAGAAAAAGAAGCAAAAGAAGAAGAAGAAGAGAGAGAGAGTGAGAGATTAGAGAGGGGACGCACAGATCTACCGCCGTTGCAGAAGCGGTGACGAAACGGAGCGAGAGAGAAAATGGGGGAAGAGGGGAAGAAGAAGAAGAGAGAAGATCAGGGAGAGAGAGCGGGAGAGGGAAACCGGAATGGGTTCAGATCCGCTGCTTCTGTTCCTAGTTGCCACTCTGTTCGGTTGAGAGGAGGACGAAGGTGACCCTTTTTACATTTTCCCATCCCATCCCATCCCAATAAAACCGAACAATGGAAACTTAATTTTTTACACTTTCCCATCCCACACAAATCTTCCCACAAACCAAACGGAGCCTAAATGTCCCTCTAACCAATAGATTCGACCAGATTCCTCACAAATGGAGTTAAATCAACAGTACTATCAAATGACAATTTATAAAGCCTAACACATCAAATATTGTGTAAAAGCAGCTTCAAAACTGCAGATCTGTTTACTTCTAGATTCAAGATATCTGCATTATGAAATCATAAACGTGCTTTGTCCTACTAACAAACATGCACATTACCCAGACTCCTTCCATTTTATGGGTCATTCTGTTTGTCCAAGTGCATCCAGCTTACACAATTGGGCACAGGTTTGGCTTCAGTTGACAAGGCTCTTTTAACCAAATTATTCATCCACCCAGTAAATCTTACGTTTTATTTGTCCAAAACCAAAGAGATTGTGCCATAAAATATACATACATATCATATAAAGGACAAACCTGCACGGGTGTAAATGCCAAACTTGAAGTCAATCCTGAGGTAGCACCACTGCTTCCATAGTTTTTTTCCTTGAACCTGAAAACAGTAAGGTAGTTTAAGGTCATTTAGACAAGGTTGACAATGGAACATTAAAAGAACACAGTAAAATTTGCAAAATAGGAAACTACACTAATAAGTAATGACAGGTATATGAAGCAGAAAAATAGGGATATGCAAAGGAACTGTACTTCTTAGCAACTTTGGCTGCTAGCTTGCTCTGACCAACAGCTACACGCAACTTCCCACTTCCAGCCTGCCCAAGCATGCCATACCCTTCACCCAGACCATCCCCTAAATATAAACAGTAAATGAAAAATAAGTTCTGCAGTGTGCACAGTAAGCCAAACGTTATAAGCAATGTATTAAAACAACCAATGCTCAACCAGGAACAAGTTACAACATTTAAAAAAAAAAAAACACTTTTGCATAAAGCAGGTATCCTTTCTGGCAACAACTCTCAGAAATTTTTATGAAATACTGTTAACAGTAAAAAATTATTACATTCCATCATCATCATCTAAGCCTTGTCCCAAACCATATGGAGCTGGCTAAATGATCCCTGTTCCGCCATTTCGTTTTGTTCAGTGCCATATCTATTGTTAAATCATAGGCCTTTAAATCTTTTCTTATACTTCAACCAATTCTTTTTGGGCCTGTCCCTAGCTCTTCTAAACCCTTCAACTTGTAACAGATCATTTCTTATTGGTGTTGTAGATAGTTTTTTTTTTTTGGCATGACCATCATCATCATCAATAACATCTAAATCTTGTCCCAATTATATGGGGTTGGCTACATGAACCCCATTTTGTCATTCTCTATTTAATGCCAGTATCCATTGTTAAATTATGAGCACTAACATCATTTCCTACTACTTCAACCCATGTCCCGTCTTCCCTGCCCCTATCCCTTCTAGTCCCTTCAACTTGTAACCTATCACTTCTTCTTACAGGTGCTGTAGATGGTTTTTAAGCACATGACAAAACAATCTTAGTCTACTTCCCCTCATTTTATCACCTATTGGAGCTACTCCTAGGTTCCTAAGAATGACTTCATTTCTGACCCTATCCTTTCTAGTTTTTTCCACTCATCCATCTAAGCATATACCTTTCTGCCACTCTTCATTTTTTGAACATGCTTCTCGACTGCACAACACTGCTTCATATAACATAGTTGGGAGGCTTACAACTATTTTATAAAATTCTCCTTTTAATCTTAGTAATATTCACCAATCACATAAGACTCAGGATGCACCCCTCTGTTTTTCCCATTTTACTCTAATTCTATGGGTGACATCCTCATCAATCTCTCCCTTGTTATGAATTATCAAACCAACATACCAAAAAATGTCACATTGAGTTATCCCTTGGCCTCAGTGTACCCTAATTTGCAGTCCTACTTTGTTTAAAATCTCTTGTTTCTAAAGTATTTACCTTTAAACTTAAATTTTTAGTCAATCCTTCATTTCTTTCATTAATTAAAACAATCTCATCAACAAACAACAGGCACCATGGGACCTCCTCTTGAATATGTTTCATCAATTCATCTATGACCAATGCAAATAAATAAGAGCTAAGTGCTTAATCTTGGTCAAAACCCATCATAACTATAAAATCTGATGTCTCTCCCATACTTATTGGAACCCCTTTGTTCCACTCTCATAGGCTCATACATTCTTTAATAATGTTTGTGTACCTATTTGAAACCCCTTTGTATTCCAAAGCCTACCATGTTATCTCTCTAGGGACTCTATCATAAGCTTTCTCTAAATTAATGAACACCATATGATCTATTTTCTTCTCTATAAACTTTTCTATCAATTGTCTTAAAAGAACGCAGTTTTCAATGGTTGATCTCCCTAGCATAAACCCATATATATACTCAGAAATAAGATTTCATAAAGCTGATTAAGGCAGCATAACAAGTAGTGAAGGATACAAATAGACACCGAGTGTCCAAACCCCCAAATATTACAAAATAAGCCCAAAACATAAACTGTCTTTGCACCCCTTGTTTAGCTAAACTATCCACCAAACTGTTAGCCGATCTTCTAATCCAATTAATTTGAATCAACATATCCCTGGACAGCCTTTTGAACCTCCTAAGGTCATTCCTTAGGAGCCATGAAACTCCTTCCCCTTTCTTTAACCAGTCCACAACTGTTTTGGAATCACCTTCAATAGTTAGCCTTTCAAAACCCAAATCCTTGTCTCTCTCAAGCCCAAAAACAGCTGCTAAGAATTCTGTTGATGCCACATCACTTTGCCCAGCAGGACTCGAGAAGAAGGCGCATATATTCCTGATAACTCCTCCAATTCCAGCAGGGCCTGGATTGCCCACACTACTTCCATCAAAATTCAATTTCAACCAGCCACAAGGCAGGGGGAGACCAGACCACTGTTGCAATCAGTCTTCTAGAAGATGAGGCAGATATAGCCCCCCCAAGCTCTGAAGAAATCATCAATCTTAAAGTCTGAGAACAAATTCAAGGTCTTAACCCAATGTGCCACTCTTAGGCTTATGACCTCAATCAACGCTTCCTTATTCTTTTCCTTTTCTCTGAAAATTCTAGAGTTCCTTTTCATGTCATAAACTTAGATCAATTATTCTCTTTCACAGTTTCATAGTGTGGCTCACGAGTTTAATCTCACGATAGTTATTACAACTTTATAAATCACCTTTGTTCTCAAATAAGCACCATAGTGCTCTTTCTCCATTCATCAAACATCTTCTTTTCTTTCATTGTCTTATTAAATGGTTTAGTTAGTCATAATAAGCCTACCTCTCCCATACCTTTCCATACTTCAATTGGAATTTGGAATACCATCGGATCCTAATGTTTTTCCCTTTTTCATCTTATATAGTGACAACTGCATTTAGTAATTTTATTTTTACATACCTACATGTTATTTTTAACACTATTAGAGTTGCTAATCTCTCCTCCATTAACACCCTCTACATGTTCATTTAATAAATTTTAAATAGTTTTTCCATCCTTCCTTGATTTCTACATCTTTTGCCAAGATTATTTGATCCTCCTCTTTAATGCACCTAAAACATGATTTAAATTTGTCTTTGCTTTCTCTCATCTTTTCTGGTTTATAAATTCCATTCCCTCTTTCTTGTGTCTAATTTATGAATTATGATAGATCTCATCACATGCCTTAAGCCCTTAAATCTAACTTCATTTACTTTTTGTTTAACTTCACTTTCTTATAGTTTTATGCTTTTCCAAGTTTTCTCCATTTTTAGTCTTTTGTCAATCTTTATAACATGTTCAGTTTAATTTGGTTACATTTTGAACCCCTTTATTCCACCACCAAGTTTCTTTAGTGCTTTGCCTTTTCCCTTTATATTCTCATAAAATGTCCTTTGCTATTATGCAATTAGCCATTTCAAATAATGTATAATTAGTCTTTCCATCTAAATTCCATTTTCCTTCTATCATCATACCTCTAAAGTGTGTTAGTTTCCTCTTTGTAGGTTTTCCCACCTAATTCTTGGAAACCTATTTCTCTTCCTTTTCCAATTGTGCATATCTGCAACAAATTTATGTTGTGTGGCTAAGTTTTTCCCTAGAATAACTATGCAATCCTTACACATCATTCATTCTGTTCTCTCTAGTAACAAAAGGCCTATTTGACTTATGTTTGATCCACTTTTAAATGTTATTAAGTATTCATCATTCTTTAAAAAAAAAGTGTTTACTATTGCCATATCATAAGCTATTGCAAAATCTAAAATAATATCTCTTGTTTCATTCCTTTCCCCCAAACCCAAATCCTTCATACACCATATCATATCCTGCACTTCTCTTCTTCAAATGTCCATTGAGGTCTCCTCTTATAAATATCTTCTCCTCATTTAGAAGACCTTGGATTAGTCCTTCTAAGTTTCCACAAAATTGTCTTTTAATGTTTTCTTCTAAACTCACATGAGGTGCATAAGCACTAATTTTGTTAGTATTTCTTCACTTAAAACAAGTCTAATTAAAATTATTCTATCTATAATGCTTTTAACATTTACAATTTCATTTTTAGATCCTTATCTACCATTATCACTACTCCATTTCTATTATTTAATTCTCCCATATACCATAATTTGAAGTCATCAATTTCTTTAACTTTTTACCCTTTCATTTAGTTTCTCTTAAGCATGCAATATTAATCCTTCTTCTCTTCATAATGTTACTAAATCCACAATTCTTCCTATTAAAGTTCCTACATTCCAAGTGGCTAATTGAATTTGTGTTTCTTGGACTAACTTTTTTACCCACCCACATCGAAAAGGATGCGGGAAACCTTGGCCCATTTTCCACAACAATCGGCATAGTGTGATGCATTGCTTCTGACTAACAAGTAACAACCTAGCAACCCTTGCCCATTTGACACCACACTCGAGTTTATGTGTAGCGTGCCGCTTCTCAGGAATGCCCCAGCATGAGCATGAAAAGGCAATCATATAAGCATGACCAAACCATCTTAATCTACTTTCCCCCATTCTATTACCTATTGGAACCACTCCTAGGTTCCTTCAACAAGTTCAATTCTGATCCTACCCTTCCTAGTTTTCCCCCCCATCCATCTCAACCTTTGCATTTCTGCTACACTCATTAATACAACCAGAAACCTCACATCCTAGTAAAATTCCACAAGAGGTAGAAAGGATGTACAACAGAAAACAAATTTTGAAGTAACAGAGAATACTGCATGGGTTTCTAAAAAACAAATTTATAAACAGAGAAAATAATTTCACACATATTTTTATACTTTCTACTTCAAGCCCACATGATCCACCTTTACTGAATCAGCATTGATATACTGTTCCATACACTTAACCCTAAAGTGTCCCTCCAAAAACAATACAATAATTGTAAACAAAGGTCTGAACATGAGGCTCAAGAGAAGGGAAAGTCGAAATATCCCAGCCAACCCATTTTTATGCAAACAATCCATATGCAGCTATCCTGCCAAAAGCATAAATTAAGGCACTAAAAAACAATGTTCTGAAAAATGTTTTGCACGGTAATGATAGACTTAGCCAGTCCACACATCCAACAGTCAAATCATCAAAAACTCAAGAAAGGGTTTTGTTGACATGAAGACAAAGCCATTTCTAAGGGGATGAATTTTGTATTTTGGTAAAAGGCTTTTTTTATCAGCAAAGAAAATTTCATTTACTAAATTATTAGTTACTGGTTACAGTACAAAGACAATCCATCATATACGTGACCCAGGTTAAAACAGATTACAGCATTGCCCAAAATAAAGTGGATCTACAACCCCCTGTTTTGCTAGCACATCAGCCAACCCATTTGCTTCCATTTTCACCCATCCAAAACTAGAATTATGTTTCTTTGCAAGTAGGTCAATTTGTCTGAAGATAAATCAGAATTTCCATGGCACCGAGTCGATTTGCTTTACCCAAGTTATGACCAGTAGTGAACCCCCTTCAATTTCCAGTTCTCTTGCTCCTAACTGCTTGGCAAGTTTCAAGCCTTGTAAGAGAGACTGAGTTTAAGCCGGAATCAAGTCACCAAATCCAATTGGTCCTGAAAACAGTACCACTACTACTCCTTGATGATTCCAAAAACTCACCCTATTCCTGCTTTCCCCAGATTACCAAAGGAAAAGGGTGAAATATTTTTCCTAACAAAAAACTCTTTTATTTAGGTGGTTGCAAGAAAAACAAAAGAATAATATGATTTTTCCTTGAAAGAAAAAATGGCAATCCATTTCATTGAGAGTGGAGGTGATGGCCTTGCTTCAAGGTGTAAGATATGCAAAACAGTTGGGGTTACACCAAATTGAGATTGAGGGAGACTCTAAATTGTTGATCGAGTGGTTGCAATCTGGTAAGTTGGGAGCCTGGATTTATAGACAGCCCATAAGGGAAATCCACAATACAACAAGGGAGATCAGCTAATGGTTTAGCTGACACGTTGGCTAAAAAAGGGACTGTGAGGGAGAGTATGTTCTGGGCAGTTTTGTAAGAAAGATAACTGGGGCTCAACACCTACTTAGGGGTTGACAGCTGTACTTAAATCTGGAAAGTTATTTAATGAAGTTACCGTTTCCAATCAAAAAAATATAAAAGAATAACCAACAAGTTTATCTCAAAAGTATACATTTTAAGGTTTGACATTGGCTTCCATTTCTAACTTAAAGGCTTATTATCACACATTTTAATAATTATGGTTCCATAAAATGGAGCAAAAGGGGATAATAGAGGCTACTCACATAAAAACCAAAACAAGTAAAAGTGAAACTCTAATAAAGGCTTGATATCCAAACACAACTGACCTTGTCTATCATGAATTGTCAAAGGATGGGATAAGTATAGATGGGGATGTGGCTGCTGAGGGGAAGAAAATGAATTGGTAGAACATGTGTTCCATAAGTGCCTTCTCTAAAGCCATATGGTTCCGAGTTTATCTCAACCTCAAGATGGATTGCATCTCAGAATGTAATGTTATGAATCTATTTCAATTCTCAAAAAAGATGGGCAGTGGGCAACAAAAAAAAGGCAAAAAGACATCCTTGCATTCACATAAAAATCCTTGTGGAAATTTTGGATAAGTAAAAAACAAATTCAATTTTTAACAATTATATGGATAACCCCATAGATTGTTTGTTTGTCATTAACAGGAATCTTCTGGCTATTAAAACGATTTCTGACCCTCCACATCTTGCCTCATCTAATGAGGAACATAAGTCAATCTTTTTGTTGGCATCCACCTCAAGGAAGTTGGTTGAAAATCAATGCGAACAGAAGTTTTAAGCAGTCAGGAGAGGCCTCTTTTGGTGTAGTGGTTCATAATCATGAAGGGAGATTCATAGCAGCTAGTGTGGGTTTTTGTAGCAGGAAGTGTTCGATGGAAAGTAAAGCTCATACAATTCTCCACGGTTCTATCATGTGGCAAAAGCTTAATTTGCAGTTTGTTATTTTGGGAAAGTTATTGGCAGGGAATAGTAGTGCACTATGCAAAAGAGATATTGATGCTGCTTTGGGTGTAAAACTTATTCTCTTAAACTCGTTAAAGATTTTGGAGGATAGGCAGGTCAAGTTCAATTTCATGAGAGGAAATAGAAACTGGGTGGCTCACCATCTGGCATGCATGGCATCACAGACTTTTGAAGAGTGGTTTAATGTTCCTTCTTGTTGACTTTTAGATGTTTTGTTTTTAGACTTGTCTGGGTGTGGCAATTTAGGCCCAAACTGCTTGTTTTAGTTTTCTTTTCTTTTCATGTTGATACTTGTTTCTTGTATTTAAGATATTCCTCTATTACCAAAAAAAATAAGAATGATGAAATAATTAATAATCCAAAAGAACAGGACCAAAAGATCCAAAACTTGTTAACACTGACAAATTCATACTTCAGTTTCCAAACAAGAAACAGAAGATGCACTAGTTTCAGCATGTGCACAGACATAGTATTACCTAAAGAGCTCTCTTCTGGAACTCCGAACTGCATCCTATTAGCCAGTTTTCTCAGATCTGTCATTGCATATCTGAAAATGTGAAGTTAAACATTTAGAAAACCAAAGGAAATGACATATCTGCAACAAGTAATGTGTGTAAAAGAAATTGCACTACCTCTCCTTCATCTTCCTGAGCCGACGACCGCCTCTCTTCTTTTTAGGGTCAGAATCTGGAACTGGAAGTGGTTTCGGTTGCTTTGCAGGAGGTGGTTCTTGCCACTTTTCAATCTTCTTACGGATTTCTTCCCGCAAGGTCCTTCCAGTCTTCCCTGTTGGATCACCTCTTGTTGAATCTACTCGTGCAGCAAGTGTTGACTTTGCAGCCAAAAGTCGGCAAGCACGCATCCTCAAAGAAGGTGGTGTACTTTGAAAAATCTCTGTTTGTTCAAGATAGCCTACACGAAATTGGGAAGTTGCAGTTGAAAAACCTGCCAGATTCTTTTTCTTGGCACCAAGAAGCTGAACATTACAAGCTGGCATCTTAGCTAATGCTGACAGACCACCAGCAGTCCCCATCAGTTTTGCTGCAACTGCACTTCCAACAATAGCAGAAAGATTTGGTGCAATATACCCCATCCTACTCTCAACAAAATCAAGGACCTTCTTCTTAGCTGAATCAAGAGTAAGAGCTCGATCACATGCATCAATTGTCTTTTTAAGATTCTCCTCAGACAGTGGCTTGCCACTAGTAGTTGATGCTGTAACAGAAACAACCATAATGATAGCTGAGGGTAAAAGTCCCTCCAGATCAACAAGAGTTAAATCCATTTCATTCCCAATCTTCTTTACAACCCGAGCATAATCAATTGGATGATGAACAAGAGATTCAAGTTCTGGAAACTTTAAGCGATATTTGTCTCGAATAAAATTGTGGATGATAATGATTTCGTTCTCAATGTCAACCGACAAAGCATTGCAATCAACTATCAACTGATATTCAGGATCATCCTCCAACACCATGCCTTGGTTGGAAACATCAGTCTCCTTCTGAAGTGCATCCTCAACTTTCTGCATTTCAGAGACAGCATCACTCTTTCCATCCACATAAAAATGCAAAGTTGGATTTATGCAAATGAAAGTACCTATAGATCCATTGTTCATGTCTAAGCCCCAAACTTAAATTTGTTAAGGGAAGCATGGTTCAGGGTTAGGTTCAGTCTAGTCAGGTTTGAATCAGCCTCAAACAATACCAACCCCACTCAAAGTATGAAGGAACTCCACAAAACATGACCCTAGCATCTACAATCTATAGCATTTAAAAGGTGCAATGGTAGCTCACTTGTAGAACATCTAAAATGACAATCATGAGTTTATTGAATAGCTAACTGAATGAATTTTACCAGTTTCAAGTCAAGGCATTTTAACAATTACTGAAACAAAGAAATATGACCTAAGACAAGCAGAAAGGAATGGATTATTTTATAATGGTGGTAACCTCCCAATTCATTTTGTTTGTGGTTCCAATAAGTTATTTTAATCCTCATTTCATAGTATAATGCAAGAAGGATCAGAGTCATGAGACATTCTTAGCTTGGGACCACATAATGGGGCTATGGCAGTACTACTGAACTTATTTAACCTAGATAATTTTCTGATTTCACTCCTAACTCCCAAGATCAATGCATGTGGTAAAATGGTGTTGGGAAACAACCTAGCTCTACTTCAAGGGAAGCTCTGCCTCTTACAAGAGAAAAGAGGGGAATTGAAAACTCAGGATTGATGGTATTTTCTTATTCAGCTTTGGTGCCTCTTTATGGGGAGTACAAGCACATAACAAGCAGGTCAGATCCTGTGAACCTCAGTTATAACCAACTTCTGATTCTGACATGGCCTTCTAAAATAGTCCCGTTTGTAAGGAGGAACCAAATGCTTGAATGGGCGCTTAGGCGGACCAGTGGGAGCTACAGAAGTGGGTTTGGGCCTAACTGGACCCTGGTCATCCAACAGGTTCCTATCACATGGCTATTTCATTTTGACTCCTAAAGAGAAGCATCAAATAATTACAAACAATGCAACACAATCAAAATCATCTTAGTTAAACATGGATTGTAGATCAAAGAATAAAACCAAAAAAAAAATATTATAAGAAAAAAATTGTAACTAACCTGCATGATATCGTTATAACGCTGTGTCTTTTGCAGCTTTGAAACACTATCCAAATCATCATAGTTAAGAGATTCTATATCTGCCAAATCACCATCAATATCCTCTTCCATGTCTCCAGCATCACCAACATCTTCATCCTGTCACAAAATATTGTTATTGTGAATAAAGCCAGAGCTAATAAAACACAAACAAATTAGCATAAAGAAATCAGGATGGAGTTAAGGTAAAATAATAAGTTTCTAAATTGGCATGTTCCACTGAACAGATAGAAGTAGTTCTTCCTTCACAAAAAAAAAAGAAAAAGATAAAAGTATATTTTAATGAAAAGAAAAGGGCGATGTACTCACAAGTAGATTGGCTTCATTATCAGATAATTCATCAAGATCTGCTAAGAAAGAATCAGCAAGTGTTGCCTGAAAAACCAGAAATGGAAGAAAATCAATATGCAAATATGAAGTTTTTTTGCGGAGAAACTTAGAATCTCAAATAACCAAGGAGAAACAAACTTTGAAGCATAATATCCACTAAAATTAAATAAAAAAAGAGATACAGCATTCCACTGAATTATCAAGAAGCACCTGGTATACTGTACTGTATTTTTTTTGGAAAAGGTAAAGTAATATTTATTGAGATAAGAAATACAAAAAGGAGGCTGAGATCAGTCCCAGAAAAGGCCGATTGATCAAATCAGCAATTACACATTCCACCAGGAACTAGAAAGAAAAACAGCTGATATATTACAATTTCTGAAATCCTCAGACACAGACACCCAAGACATCAGTTTGCCCACTGAGAACAAAAATACTGTACTGTATTTTTTAATGAAACACACATATTAGGCATCTGAGAACAAAACAGAGATGCATCATCCTACTAGGTATCACACCATGGGAACAAGATTGTCCCAGTATAATGCCCTTTTTATTATTAAGGGCCCGGCGCAATGCTTCAGGTAAATAACAAAGTTATGAGTTCTATAAAGAATAGCTAAAAATTGATCCCAAAAAAATAAAGAATAGCTAAATATAGCCATATTCATTATTTTTCCTTTTTTTCTTTTTTCTTTTTTCTTTTTTTTTTTTTTGGGTGGGGGG